GGGGGGGGGCAGCAATGAGATCAGCTGTGTGTGTTGTGAACAGGTGGACGACCTGCTCAGCCTGCTGGCAGAGCTGCGAGCGGAATCTGAGAGGCTGAGGAGCATCAGGGAGGCTGAACAAGAGACAGACTGGTGGAGCCAGGCTCTGCCCTCCTTGGAACAGAAATGGGAGCACCTACCAGAAAGTACCCAGCATCAAGGGGTCGCTGTATCCTGCCCTTGTCAAGAAAAACCTGAGGTTTCTTATATGGACATGGGTGTGATCGCCACTGTCCTGGCAAGGCCCGTGTCTCATCACACCAGCTCCAGATGGGCCTCTCCACACTCCTGGCATTTCCCTGGCTTGGAAAAACCTCAGGAACCCTCCCTGTACACTGAGATCTGTTGCTCTCATTCTGGTCAGGCCAGGATTTGAAGCAGCTCCTCTTGGCGACATTATTTCACTGCTGCTAGGAACAAACTGCCCTTCTAAAATAAAGCACCCCAACAACTAAAGAAAGCATTTGTGGTAAATTATGTAACACATGGTAATACTACTATTTTTCAGATGAGAAAACAGTCTTTTACTATCAAAATACAAAGAAGAATTCACCCCACCAACATTCCACATTAGCTTAAAATGTGTTGTATTCAACTACGTTCTGTCAACATTGTGTAATATGAAAGTTTTACTGAATTATACACCCCATTGGTATTGCCCAGCTGCTCACTAATGAAATTCTCTGGATCATCTCTAAAAAAATATTGATTCATTCTATCCTAGTGATACAGCCACTATACACATACAGCAATACATTTTATTACTTGTACATGTGAGAAATATTTTACTTGAGAGTTACTGATACTCTGCAAAATGGTTAGAGAGAGAAATAAAGTACTGCTCTAAGTTTCTAAGTAAAAGCTTATTGCAGTCAGCCTTCAAATTCTGTAACACATAAGCCAAGGAAATCTCACTTTTTCCCACCACATTTTTTCAGTTTCCTCGCCAGCATATGCTATCCTAGCACATGGTTAATAAAAATATCTTCCATGACAGAAAAAGACATTCTGAACTTCATAGACACTGCCAGCTTGAAATCTGTTCTACTTAAAAAAAATTCAACATATGCAGTATTGAATTTCACCTGTTTTCAAGTATCTGCCTGTAGAAGTGGATTTACAATTATGTTATTAAAAAAATCATTGCTGCTGTAGGAAATAAGCTAACATAATTTACAAATGAATCATATAAAACACTGTAAGAATTAATGAAATGTAACCTGAGGATCAGGCACAGAAGTACCTAAATGAAAAGCAAACACTTGTTTTTCTAAATCAGTAATCTTCAGGTTTGCTTTTTAGAAGTAAATCAACTTTAGAAATGAAATTTAACTTCAAAAAAGAATTTAGGAAGTCAAACAGCTGAATGAAACTTTTGGGTTTTTTTGTGAGACAGAGCACCAAGTAGAGTAAGCCTTGGAAGACAGTGGGAACTTCCAGATCTTTCCAAGACTTTCAACTACTTGGAGTCATTCAGTACACAGATTTCTTTCATTTGAAACCCAGACTTCTGAGCAATCACAAGAGTCCCCACAGATGAAGCAAAATCTGCTTGTGAAGCTGAGAAAAGAACAACTCAAGACAGCTGAGTCTTACTTGAGAGACATCACTGTCTCTGTATCTCAGGGATGCTTTGACAACCAGCTTTGGGATGGAAAATAATCAAGATCTACTTACTTAATCATACTCCGTATCTTTTTAAATGCAAACAGACTATAAAACTGTATTAGCCTGGAACTGATTTTAGCCTAAAAATTTTTCAAAAGGTTGCCTGACTTTTCATCGGCTTCAAGACATTTACTTCATATGCAATTCACTCTTCTCTACCAGACAATAGCAGTTTCCACTCCAAAGTGCTACATCAGCATAACCAAAGCACATGGAAGATTATTCAGTCACTTCACCATCTCTTTCTGCATTTTTGTTTCTTTGTTATTTATTTCCTTGAGGAGGAGAGGAAAAAAATAGAAAAGGGTAACTGTGACAGTGAACTTCCTCCATGTCTGACCAAGTTTATTTAAGAACAGAGTAGCTCAGTGTCCTTGGTAACAGACAAGTTGCCAATACTAATGCACGTTGCTCCTCTTGAATCAACGCAAAAAGACTCTGTCTTTTCTCTCCATTGACTATAGAAGGCATCTAGGGAAATTAGCATAATTAGGCTAAAATTAGCCTTTGGAATACTGTTGGAAGAGCCACAGAGATTCACTCTCCTCACAAAACTTGACATCTTATTCAGGAAAACGTAATTATTTTGCTTACTAAGTTTTAGAACAGACAACCAAATTATGTCATAATTTAGGAAGCCTATTAAAATGCTTTTCTCATAAAATACTTAATTAGGAACTACAGGGATAACAAACAGATTACAATAATGTGGACTTCTGCTCAATAACATTTGTTTGGAAGTGACGTGTGCCTTGCAAGTCCAAGCAGAGGCTGGCAGTAACTGTTTGCCACCGAGGATTTTAAACACTGGAAAGCGATCTACATCTTTCCAGTTGGCAGCCCAGGAAGTAAGTTCCAAAGCTATTTTCGTTAAGAGGTCTTGCCTGGGTTTATTATACAAAGAAATCAAAAGAAGCAGGGTAATTTGGCTCAAAGGTATTAAAATAAATAAATAATCTCATTACTCTTGGTAAAACTGCTCTGTTAGTTTGGAACACAAGGCGACACTTTTCCTCTACATCAGAGCAAGAACTCTCTGCATTCCACCATCAGAAATTCTACTCCAGAGCAGCATCACTCTACTGCACCCTCCTGTTTCCCTGAACTGCAACTCCACTGTACCTCTTCTATGAGGACTGGCCGAGAGCTGGGGCTGTTCAGCCCGGAGAAGAGAAGGCTTCAGGGGAAACTTATTGCATCCTTCCAGTTCCTGAAGGGGTCCCATAGGAAAGGTGGGGAGGGACTTTCTACAAGGGCAGGTAGTGGCAGAACGAGGGGGAATGGTTTTAAACTGAAAGAGGGTAGATTTAGATCAGATATTAGGAGGAAATTCTTTACTGTGAGGGTGGTGAGACAGTGGCCCAGGTTGCCCAAGGAAGCTGTGGATGCCCCTTCCCTGGAAGTGTTCAAGGCCAGGTTGGATGGGGCTTTGAGCAGCCTGGGCTGGTGGGAGGTGTCCCTGCCCATGGCAGGGGTTGGACTGGATGAGCTTTAAGGTCCCTTCCAACTCAAACCATTCTGTGATTCTATTGATTCTATGGTATCTCATCAACTGAGAATCATGCCCAAAGGAAAGCCCCCCAGTTTTACAGAACCCACAAAGAACTCCAACACTGCTAACAACTGCAACTTACACGAAATGCAAGCATTACTTCTTTACTCAGGTAAAAGCGATCACTAAGTGAAAACAGTCCACATCACGTTCCTGGAATTTATGAAATTCTTGTTGTATTGGCTAGGAAATACAACGGTTAGAAGGGAAGTATGACAGAACTATAATGCTGACTGCACACACCACTACGTGGAAAATGAGATCTCCAAAACTTCATTTTGACATGTTTAGTTATGTCCTTCAAGCCTGGATCTGAATCCTGAAATACTTAAGCTAATAAGATGGTGAGGTTGTAATACTGAAAGCTTTTGCCTCCTGCCTGATTTTCAGCTAATATAAATCCTTTTGAGTAGTATCAGTGCTGAGGAGAAGGATGTTATTTCCTCCTTCTTACACCATCGCTCTCATTGCTGGAGAGCAAAAAACCAATGTTTTACCTATCCAATGGCTCCATGAGATTGGTTTTAATGATTCAAAAGATGAACTCATAGAACTGCTTTCCCGTTCCTTCCTGAAGAAGTTATTTCTCCAGGGCATGAGCCCAGCCTCCAAAAGAATTTGAGAGACTGAAAGGAAACAGTTTTTCTGCCTCCAGCTTGTACCTGCTCTGCCCAAGTGGTGTACTCTGCCACATAGAGTATCTTCTCAATTCATGTTAACTGGCAGATACTTTGTGACTTCTGAAACTACTTCCTCATAGAAAATAAGCAGAGATTTATTCTGATTTGATTTAGTATCGTTACTCACAGAATTAGTTCCAAGAACCTGCAGCTTTGGTTCCCCCGACTCCAGAAGCTTGGCCACCATATGAAGGAAACTTTCCACAAATGGTTTTATGCTTTGAGAATGGCAAGCCATTAGAAGCTGGTCCAATGCCTCCATGGCAATTAAAACATACCTGAAATTTAATTAGACAGACTCACATAAAGATGTGCTACATTTATCATTACCTGAATTAGTTCAATTTAGGTCCTTATTACTACAAAAATTAGAAAAGGAAGAATGGAAGGCACATATTTCCCACTGTCTAAAAAACCTGAAGTTACTGATATTTCCTACATTCATATTTTTTCCTCTTTTTTTTTTTGAGGGGGAGAATTGAGTGTTTTTAGAAGGGAAGTCATAATTCTTGGTAACAGAGTAAATATAGTTCAATTTTCTTTCCTATCACATTTTATTTTCAGTTTTAAATTCCAGCTTTCCTGTCTACAAATCCTCTATCCAAATCCCAGTATGGAAAGCAACCAATCTATGCATGCTCCTGCAGAGTCAGGCAACATGCTAAGTAAATGAAACAAGAGAAAGAGAAGCAGTGAACAAAATTAATTACACTAAAGAACAGCCATTTGGCCATTCTACAAAGTCATAATAATAGCTTTTGACATCATGAAGGCCAGAAATGATGGCCTGTGACGGACGCTGCCTTTCTTTTCCAACTCCTGCCACTTCTTAGACTCAGTATTTTCCTACTCCATTTCCAAATTCTTTAAGATATTCTCCCTCTTTTGACTCTGCAGTCTTCAAAATTTCTACCTCATATAGGACTTAAGAGTATGACAGAGTTTTAAAGTTCACATTTAAATACAATTTAGCCAAAAGGGCTCAAAAGAAAGCTATCCCCACTTCCCAATATCCTGAATGACATTCAAGGGTGTATTAGGTTTACATGGCAAGGCTTTGCTAGCAAGGGGACTGCAGGAGTTGCAGAAGTTGTCAGAAGAGCCAGCTCCAAGATGGACCCACCACTTCCCAAAGCTGAGCTTCTCAATGACACTGGTAGCACCCATAGAGGACCACAGGGGAGAAGATACCACACTGAAGACCATGGAGGACCCCATGCTGGAGCAAGTGGATGTGCCCTGAAGGAAGCTGCAGCCCATGGAAAGGCCCCCCTGGGGCAGAGGCTCCTGGCAGAAGCTGCAGCCCTGTGGTGAGGAGCCCACGTGGGAGCAGCTTTTCTAGCAGGACCTGTGATCCATGAGGGACTCACGTTGGAGCAGTTCTGGAAGGACTGACTTGTGTGGGATTGACCCAACAGTGGAGCAGGGGAAGAGCATGAGAAGGAAGAAGAGGCAGAGACAAGATGTTATGAGCTGACCGCAACTCCCGTTCCCAATCCCTGTGCACTGCTTGTGGTGGGGAAGGTAGAGGAGCCTCAGAAGAGGGGCTGAAAGGAAGGTGGTTTTAGCTTTGGTTTTATTTCTCACTATCTTACTCTGTTAATTGGCAATAAATTAAATTAATCTTCCCCATGTTGAGTCTCTTTTGCCCACCATGATCTCCCTATCCTTATCTCGACCCATGAGCTTTTCATCTTATCTTCTCCCCCACTGGGCTGATGAGGACTGAGAGAGTGGCTGAGTGGGCACCTGGCAGCCAGACAAGGTTAACCCATTACAAAGAGACTGGGTTTGTCTTGCCTCCTAAACTTGATCAGAGCAAACACGATGAAATCCAGCCATATAATAGCAACTATTTTTAATGCTGTCACTTATTTCCTTACCCATAACGATGTCTGACAACATCTCTGCTCAGTCTCTCTGCTAGGTATGCACCAATACGATCCAGCTTTTCTGGTGCAGAAACCGCATAGAAAGTCAGCTTCTCCATATCGGCTTTAACAAGACCATCCTAAAAATAGACATACAAAAGTTCACAGGAGTATAAAGTTTCTGAAGTGTTTTTCCTTTTGTCTGTATAACATTTAAATATCCGAGCCATACAGCTGGGAATAAGCTACTCCAAAAAATCCTTTTGAGCAAAATTGTCAATAGCTTAGCTGCAAAAATCAGCAACATAAAAAAAAATGAAGAAAAATATTTTTTAAGGAAATGAAGTAACTACCTTCCCCTACCTTTTTTATTTGGGGGGGAGGGAAATGGAAATTCCAAAAGAAGTTATATAGTGAGATACCTCATCAGTTCTAAGACAAACTTTTTCCCTACTGATAAAATGTAACTTTTCACTTTTCCCATTCCCCTCCATAATGCATAATGATGCTATGATGCATAAATTTGATGCTATATACAAACAAGATTGCAGTTTAAATACTTATTTTTTCAGTGTCACATCTTGGACAAGGCTGACATATAGGGTACCTGAAAGTTAATTGTTAGAACAAGAGCAAAGATTAATGTATTAGCTCCAATATGGATTGTGATACAGATCTCCTCAAGTGAGGTTATAACTATTAGCTAAGAAGGATAAGGCTTTTTTTTTTCCCTAGAATTTCACAAAAACATTATCTTTTTCAAATAAATTACTTTGAAGCTTTTAACGTACTCATTATTAATTAATGCATTTTATTAAGCAATTCTTCTCATATTTTGGAAAAGGCATGGACTGGCTTGTGTCCTGCACTGAGCCAATGAACGTTAACAAAGACGGAAACTAAGGAATGTCAACTCAGAGCTACTGAGTGAGACTAAAGCTGTAACACAACAACTGTAGCATTTTTGAGAGTTTCTACACCTGTATCAAACATGTAAATTAAAAAAAACACCACAAAACCTTTACTATTATATTGTTTCATACTTTCAATATAACAGATACACAGGAAGTGTTTTCTTTGAAGCCAGTAACATACATTAATACAGTAACCAGCACTCAGGAACAACACATTTTAAAGAAAAGCCCACCTACTTTTTAAGAGTAACGTTATAAAAATGCTGACTGTTCTGCTTGCTTCTACTATAACAGAAGATAACAAAATCTGGTAACACATTTAAAAAAATACAGCAGCAGAAATACAAGCTCTGGATTAGTCTGAACCACCATATGAAGATGTATAGATATAGGTGTTACTAAATGGTAACGCAGAAGTTATTTATTTTCACAGAGAGCAAGAGCTGGGCTGTAATACAGCTTCAAGACTGTTCAAGTGAAATGAAAAAATCTCTATATGAATAACTGGACAAATTAAAAAACGACAACAAAATAAATCTCTTTGGATCACAACAGTCTACCAGAGCTATAAACACTTACACAGTCAATACGTCAAGAGTTAGAAAATTAAAATCTTGTAGAAAGACAGAAAATGTTCACACCTGCAAATACAACAAAACAAGTGTCTGTTGTTCTAAATGGTTATGAAGTTAAGTGCTACCTCTGCTGCAGAATACCCTGTTTAATTAAATCTCTGTCTCTCTGAACATCACACACTAATTTCACTCTTCAATATGCGCAACCCTGCTTTGAAAAGGGAATTAGAGCAGATGATCTGCAGAGGTCCCTTTCCAGCCTAATTATAACACTAACCTCTATTAAAGCTATGAAGTCTTAAAGCAGAATTTACTGTAAAATGTGAAAATAGACAGAAAATATAAAATTTGAAAAAAGTTGCTAAAGCATTAGTTACAAACCAACAATTTTCAAATGCTGATCCCTTTAAATTTCTAAAGTCATCACTCACTTTTGGATCTTCAGGAAATATGTTATCTACCAGACGCTTGTAGCGAGGTCGCAAAGCAGCACAGCAACAGCACACTCCTGCAGAGGGGTTTACACAAGAGAATTTACAATTAGGTTTTAGGAACTCCAGTGCTTTCATTTTAAGTGAGTAGCTGACAAGGAAGGAGGAAAAACATACAGTGAATTCAGCTGCTGGCTACTATCAGCAATAAAGCAAAATTAAGGTAATAGAAAATTAGAAGGCAAATAAGCAAAACTACTACTGTAATGTAATACATGTGAAAATATGCAAACTGTTTGTGTATTAGAATGCACACGTTACCCAGACATACTTTAAAACATGCAGATAAACCAAGAAATTTCAGAATGTACTAATATTTAAAGCAAGGCTACATCATTTGCTGTTTTATCCCCAATCTGAATGATCATTTTGAAATGTAACCAAACATGCATTATGTTCGCTCTTCTACGGAGAGTCAACTAGGAAATCTTCTGTTTTACAGGCAACCATATAAAGCAATATAAAGCACAATATGCAAAACAAGCTCTCCCTTCATTATCCCACTATTTTACGGGGCATCAGACAAAAGACAAGTCTCTTGAGATAAAGAAAGGTATTTTTCTGATCTCATTTCTACTTTACTACTAATACTGTACTCATATGAATATACTCAGAACAATACATGTAAACGGCAATTTTATTAATTTAAAAAGTCATACTGCCTGCTCTAACAAGATACAAACCTACAAAGTATAGTTTGTTTTTTCTAGCATCCAGGACTAGTATAACTTTGAATAATTCCTGTTCACCTGAAGTAAAACCTCAGCACAAAATAAACCCTGAAAAAATATTTCTAGGTATCTGTCCAATTGTTTTTACCAGTGAAGATTTTTTCCCAAGGAACTTAACCAAGTTTTAAATGTTTCAGTGCACACATTATCAGACTAACTCACTGGTCAGGCCCCAGCTTACCATTAAAGCAGCTCTGCACCTGGCTCAATACTCTTTGTACTTCCATTTTCCCACTTGAATTTCTACCTTATGGACCACTGACATTGGTCCAGAGTAAACAGCATGTTTGATTACTACTGAGTGTAACAAAATATTCTCACAATAACTGTAGAAAAATATCTTGCTACAGCTCTCTGAAACATAACAAGAACAGAAAATACTGCAAAGTGCTGCATGCAAGGCAGAGGGAATTAAAAATGCTTTTAGAGTTAGTTTCTCCCTCTTTAAGCGACAGGAGAAAATCCTTGCAAAGAACCACAATTTAAAGCTTCAGGAGATGTTTTAGAACCACAGTAATTACATAATTTTAACATAAAACCTAGATACAGTTACTTCTCTGAGAAGGATGAAAAATATCAGATAACAGTACCAACTCATTCAGACAGCCTTGCCAGATGGGTTCACTTAATGGAAACCCAATACTGTTCAAACAGAGCTCTTCAAAGTCATGGCACACAGTGACTTCTGGTATGGAAAAACGGCCTAACAATAACTATATCACATGAGATTTGCAAACCTTCTCTTCTTCCCATCCTGGATTTTCAGTAGTATATTTGCATTGCTATATCTTTAATTACAGCACAGTTTACATTTAAAAAAACCCAAATACCTTTTAAAACAATCCTATACCATCAAAATATAAAACAAAAATATGAACTTTAATGTCACTAAAGAGATTTTCTAAATTAAACAAAATATTCAAGTATTAGAAAGCTAGAGTTAATCTGTCAAAGCTTCCAGCCTTCAAAGATATTTTGAGTAGAGAAATTTAAGCAGAACTCTATCAGAAAAAAAATAAGTGACAGGCTCTGCGAGGAACACTGAAAAAAAGAAAACCAAGAGCAAAACCCAACACAACTAACAGTCATGAAACACACTTTGTCAGAACGTTATAAATCATTTCTCAGTGTTTTGATATAACCAGGAAGGAATAATAAAAACACAGGAATAGTGTTTGGTTTTTTTAAATAAAAGTATTGGTGTAAGAAAAAAAAAAACCAGACAAAAATCAAGTCTTAACAACATACATTAAAAACAGACTGAACCAAACAAACAAAATCTATGGACATTTCTTTACATAGATCAGAAAAGATGAGAGAGAAGCTGTGCAATTGAAGAGGTTTTTTCTAATTCTTGGATAAAAACTTAACTCAAATAAAAGTTGATCCAAATAAACAGATTCATCTCACACAAATAAGCTGTTTTGTATGTCTACAGAACACAGTCACTAAGCCAGGTAAAAAGAACCTGTTCTACTTTTTAGATTTATTGCTGAAAAAATCCTATGACAAATCCCATTCAGTGCCCGGCAAAATTTGCATCTTAATGGTCTCCCCCTTCAAGACAGCTTTATGTAATTTTATACAAGAAAATATAAAGGTTAAAGTTGTATCTATAGAGAAGTCCACACTGTTACATGATAGTCTACATAAAAGGCTTAAAAAATACTTATCATTTACTCCTCCAATAATGGGATTTTCCAAGTTTAAACATGCATGTTCTCTTCTGCTAAAGGACTCCTGTAATCTGCATCTTACACGTTAAGACTGTACATATTTCCCAGTTGCATGGGTACTTCTTTTTACACACATTTATTCTACACAATAGCAGTAAGAAGAAGCAGTCAGCGTTATCAGAAAATGGTAATTTCACCTACCCAAACACATACACGGTCTTGGTTCAAAAGCAGAATTATAACCATAGGCTTTTTCTTGCTCAACAGTTGGAACTGGGACATACTGCCTCATCCTGGGTATGACTGCACTCCCCGGGTACTCTCTCCTTTTCCGAAATTCGCTCTCCCACGCTAGCACAGAAGCAGTTACCTCACGCGAGGGCTCTGCGATACTGTCAGCTTATCTGATTAACTCTGTGACATCCACACAAAGCCACCAAACACGTGAAAAACTTCAGTATCAGATTCTGGTAACAAGGCCAGGCAGAGGAACAGAGAAAAGAATAAAAGCTGCATCGTTAACGTGCGATTCACAGCTCATCGAATTAAACTGCACAGAGACCGTTTCATTGCTTTAACTTTCCCAGAACATGCAATTCATTTTTTTCCTGTGACTAGAAGCAAAAAAATCAGTACATTTTCAGAAAAACACTGTGTTCAATCAGCTGCCACATCTCACTGTAGAGTAAGAAGTATTTTAGCAAAAAATACTGACTTCATCTTGCTGAAGAATGGCCAGAAAACATTTCTTTAAGGCAAACTGCTGACTAAATGGCTCGTTAAACAGAAGGGTTTATCTCTAAGATTAGAAAAGCACTTTAAAAATTAATAGGTTAATGAAATTAACATTCTCTCTAATAATACTTCAGTATGTAAGAAGCAAGGATTACAGAATTTAAATCCTTAGCATCCTTACTCACAAACACTGTGATACATCAGGTAGGAAATCAATTTGGAGGTAAGCAATTCTGAGGATACTTTCTGACTTCCCATGACTTATCATCATTTTATCGTTTTACTTGCCACATCAGATCCACTTGGGTAACACAAATACAAGATTTTCATGTAGGCATTTTTATAAACCCTGGAAATTATAAGGTATTGGTTTTAATAATATCACAACTAATAGTTTCCAGTAAATGACAATTCCATACAAACTCTAGACTTAAGAGACTAGTGCGAAATAACTAGTGTTAACTGCAAATAAATTCAGAGAAAACACTGAGCTACAAAGAAACTGTCACCATGTAGTTTACTAAAGAAACTCTGTGCTCTGAATTAGAAAAATCCACATTACAACAAAGTTTTATTTCAAATGAGTTTGCCTGAATATTCACTTCTACATCTTACTCAAAATTACAGAAAAACAAAACCTTCAAGCTGGCTTTAAACATAAAGCATTGAGTTCCACCCATCAAGTCTGAAGCAGTCAGGTCATTTTCCTCTTTATTAAAGCCCAGCAAAACAGAAAATAAATGAATTTTTTAATTTATCAAATATATCCAGAAATAAGTGCATAAACTAACACTTCAACCACCACACTGGCTATACCTGATTATTTTGAACTGTTAATATCAGTTGATGCATTTATAATTGAGAACTAAGACTATTTTCAAGGGCATTCCCCTTCCACTATTAAAAACAGATCAAATATTTTAGAACAAGGAAATTATTCTGGCCATATGAGGGAGTTAATTAAAAATATTCTTCAACCTGCTATAAAAAGAACATCTGTGGTAAGGACGTGCACAGCAGCCACTGCCACGTCCCTGTAACGCACTCCCAGAGAGACCGGAGGATGCATCATTTACACAGTGTGAAGTCCCATCCCCCAGAGGAGCTTCTCCGTCTCTTCTCCAAGTGCTGTTTGACTTCTGCAGAACTGGTTTCTAACCTCTCTTCACCAATAAGCAGCAAAAAAAATACCTAATGTGCAGATGAAATTTGTCTTAAGAACACGATCTTCATCTTGATGTCAACTTCTGACCCCCATGAGAGCAAAATCTCAGCAACAGCCAATGTGGAGAATTTAATCCACTGTCTAGGTTTGACAATTTCACATTTATTTTAAAAATATTTTGGTTTTCAGATAATTTGAAACAAATGAAAAAAACCCAATTGACTTTCTCCCAAGACTTCATTCTTGTATTAGACTTGTAAAGGTAATTATAAAACCAAACTTCGTGCAATGTAACTTCACATTGTGTTCTTCTAGACATGAATCAACATGGAGAGGTGCACAGCATGATACAGTGGAAAACATGCAAAAATAATTTGAATACAAGCTTTCTGTGAAAACGAGAAATGACAATGCATGTCAAGCTACTAGTAAGAAGGAGGAAAAGAAAAACCCAACCTAGTCAAATAAAGCTTACCCCTAAGCTTCTTCAGTGAAGTATCCTTTTCAGAACCATTAGCAATTAAAAGAGATCCCCAGGGAAGATACTATCTCTTGGAAGGTGCCTTTTAAAGACTTCTAATCCATTAAAAGGAAGTTTTCCATTACATCAAGTTCTCCAGTTTCGTTCTTTTTCACAAGTTCCACATCTGCAGTGTTTCCATCCTGTCTCTTCTTTCTCTCACCTTGGTTGTTTTCACACAGTAACTTTG